TATCCCTGACTTATTGTGTGTTTCTTCATCATCATGAAGCCCTTTTGTCCATTACTGTTCTCCAACAGAACTTATAGCTTCAAAGAAAAGCAATTTTTATTAAAAAAATGTTTTAATTACAAGCAGATAAGGTCTCTTTTTGAAGGCGATTTGGATTTCCTTTAAGCGATAGATAAAACTGTGTAGAATACACACACACACACACAAAAAAAAACTAAATTAAAACAATTAGATTTTTAATTCTCATCTGCAGATCTTCCAACAGCTTAGAGCTCGGAGCTTCTCTACCAGCTCTAAACTAAAAGAACAAAACATCTTTAATAGAAAGAAACAAAGTCCAATGGTTTTGGTTTTGTTTCTACACCTTTATGGATCAAATCCTTTATCTTTCAAAATGCACAATTTTGTTGTTTTATCACATTAAATCCCTATAAAGTTAATTTCTGATATTTGTAATGATATAAAGGGTTCATATTATATGGATGTAAATGCAGCAAGGCAGCACAGAGCAGATGAGTGTCAAAGGAGAGGGTGTGGCAGAGCCAAGAGGAAGATGCCCCAAAAACTGGATCCGAATGAACAGAGGGGTGATGGGTTGCCATCAAACCAGTAACGCCTCCCAGCTCCCCTCACCCTCTCCCTCTCCCTCTTCACCCCTTTCATCTAACACCTCTCCCTCTTCACCTTCTCCAAATCATCAACACTTCAAGGGTGCCGTGCTTTGAACGGTCCTCATGAATAGAGATGAGGGAAGAGCAAAAATCACTTTCCGACTTCGATGACTGCAGAACACTTCAACATGAGGAGGATGAAATAATAGGAAGCAGCTGATGTGCGGATAGCGTCCTCATTGTTAAGCAACTAAAAATATACCACGGCTCACTCTTAACGTTTGTTTATAATCAAATAGACATTTACCTCACTGTTTCCCTAAATTATAGTGAACCTTAAATTATTTTGTGATCTAAAAATATACCAAAACTCAAAATAATCATCAAAGCAACACTTGTACTGAAGCTATTTTTCTCTTCCTTCTCATAAACATAAGAAAATTGCAGACAGCTCAGTGGATTAAAGAATATCAAACACATATATCAACTGGACTGTTTTAGATTTTGCTTTTACATAATTCTGAACAATATATAACTAAACAGTTTTACACTTTAAAGTGAGGAAAAAACAAAACAACAATAACTACTTAAAAGGCTGCTGCAGAGCTCCTTCAGTGGCATCCTGAATGCACCAAACAGCGTCATCGCTGATCCTTCCTCCCATCAGCTGTTAGACTTATAGCCACCACTGATCCAACCAGTTATAAACAGCCTGTTTTTGTTTAGAATGTGTCCTAAAATCGCCCTAACCATTCACTATCCGATAACTATAAAACCTGCAAAGTTTTTCCTCTTTCTTATGTAGCCATAAAGCTTTATTATTTTACTTGAGATGAGCTGATTTCTATTCAAAACACCTGCAATGAGTAACAACTGTTCAATTTAAGTGAGCAAATCTTTTGCAATCTGTCATGATGTCTCCTGCATCTGCAACAATTGCTCTTTCATAATTCCAAGGTTAGGGACGCTGTGAAGCAACGAGCTGAGAGAAACAAGAACCAACATGAATGCAGCCTTCTACTTGTGTCCCAGTGCTGTCATCTGAGGTATGTGTGAGCTCAGCAACCACAGGGATTTAGAGGTGAGGGAAACTTTTGCAGAACTTACCAGAGTCGTAGCTTGGAGGTTTCATGTCGCCCTGATTTAGCTCTGTCCCGTATTTCAACTTGTGGTATTTTGCCCTGAAAGAAAAAAAGGAACAAGTAGAAGTTTAAAAAAAGCCAAAAATAGGAAACCACCTCAAAGGACACTTAAAACTTTTTACAAATGATGTCTGCATAACCTCATCCCACATAGAACGTCTCTGGGTTGGAAGAGGATTTATTCTTATTAGACTAAAGCATCTTAATAAAATACATTTTGTAAATTATATAGTAAAAATGCCCCTGTGTTAAAATCATTTCAGTGATTTCGTTTTAACTCCTACAGAAAGCCAAAAATGCACATCATTTAAAAGAAAATATGATTAATAATCCAGGATTTTAACACCTTTTTTTTTACATTAACAGTTTTCACAGTAATCCCGTTTTTAAAGCAGACATATAAAAAGGTCCATCAAAAATTTACTGCAGCTTTTAAAGATCAGGAAATCAAAATAACGTTTTCAAAACTGAATGCATGGATGGATTATCAAGTTGAAATGTTTTTTTAATTTTTTTTTTAATTAAATTTTCCATATGAATATACAAAAATGAAAAGTTGAAATGTTTTAACTGTGATTTATTATGCGTGTGTGATAAAGGCATACAAAAAAAAATTTGATTGATTTTGATAAACTGATTATTAAAATAATCTGCAGTTAACTTAGTCATCAAATAATTGTTAACTGGTTATACAGAGTAAAATATCCAAGTTGCTGAAAGAACAATCCCAATTTTGTACAAAAATATCTTTACCTTCAGCATTTAATTCAATTCAGTTTATTTATATAGCGCCAATTCCCAACACCTGTCATCACAAGGCACTTTACAATTAAACCAGATCATACAGTCAAATTTAAGATTTCATTTTAGATGAAAAACTTTTGTCTATATATAGTAAATATGCTCATATATTTTTATGTGTGGGTGTTTGTTTTCCAAGGTGTCAGAGATAAATCTCCATCTCAAAGGGTGGAAAAGTTAGAAGGAAATGGATGAATTAAGAGACGGATTGTCAGAACTTTTAAACAGAGGGACAGGTAATACAAATCTGTAAAATACAAACATTCATCTGCATTCAGTTTTGTTACATAAAACACATACTGAATAATAGGGCTGGGTAAAAAAAAACGATTTAATGGATTTTGAATCGATTCCTTTACATTTTTGCAAAATCCATGTGTAGGGAATGAGATCGATTAGTTTTATAGTGACGTGAGTGATGTTCATATTCAAATGAGCAAGAAAGCCAGACAGCTGCAAATATAGCCGATAGGTTGACTGAAGACATTAACAAATGGGGGCTTCACTTTTTCCCTTTTCACAAACAAGTTTGCACTTTTGAGACAGTTTTGTTCACATCTCAAGTTTAAACTGATTTACAAGTTTTCACTTTGTGTTTAATATGACAGGAAAAAATAAAATACATGAGTGTTTTGAAACGCAGTTAAATTCCCATCATTGTTGTAAAAACAGATCAAAGCGAAATTGATAGATTTAGAACTGCATGAATCAAAATCGAATCGATTCAGGACTTTGGCGAAAATACCCAGCCCTACTGCATAATAATTTTTCTTAAAACAAGTTAAAAAATCCCAAAATGTTGATTTTAAGCATTTTGACATCCAATATATTTTAAATGGGTGAATTACTGTACCAAACATATTTTCTAATATAATTCCCGTGACTATGATGCAGCTTGACAAACTAAACTATATCATATTATCATCAGGATGTGTAACGTTTCCCCAGCTGAGGTCGGCAGACAATAAAGAGGAAACAAAATTTCAGCTTAGCTGCCCTCCGTCCAGCACTAGAGGAGGTGACCCCATTAAAATGAAATTCATTTCAAACAGGGCACATGCCACATTCAGAGACACCACATCTCTGAAATTGCTTTCAAGACACCCTCAGAGATGTGACCTGTTCCCTAGCAACCAGGAGACATGGTAGTATTTCTGGGTTAAGGGTTCCTCCTGAGGGATGGCCTGCAGTGATCTCACTGAGGCAAAGTAGATAAAAATAGGCTGTTAACAGTCAGAGGATGAACAACCCATGACGATGTTCCTCACGGAGAAACATTAACTAATGCTGGAGCTGGAGGGGAGGGGGATGACGAGGCACGAAAAAGCCATTTTAAAACTGCGCTGACACAGCTGTGTTAAGGCTTTTATTCACTTAATCTCCCTGCTGCAAGTTCCTGAAAAACACCCGAAGCAAGGAGTGTGATTTACTCCCTACTCCTAGTGTGGAGTACGACGCTGCCTTATCTTACACAACTGACTAGGGCCTGCGTCAGAACCGTCTGCATTCGCAGAATTCCTCCCGATGGATGTCATTTACAGGATCAGTCCTTTAACATCAACCACAAACAAGTTGAGAACATCCTGTGGGGCTGATCAGCCAGGGAGTGGCTGTCCTGAGAAGAAAAACCCGGCCTTAGTTCACACCTATTCACAAGAAAAGGCGTGACGAATGAACTCAGCCTGAATTATGTAAATAATAACAAGTGAGGAGCTGAACATGAAGTCAGCTGCTGCCTGACACGTGGATCATCTGGGGAAGCCCCCCCCCCAGAAACCTTTCATGTCTCATTTGGGTTGTTGACTTTCTGTCGGGTGTGTCGGAGAGATCATTCTGACTGGCTGTCTTGTAACTTTGTAAATAAATCAGCTTGTAGAACCTGCACTTCACCGTGTCTGTAAAACATAATAAATGAACAAACCACCAGGTATAGTTGAACCCAAAATAAGTCACACCCCTGGGAGAGATTCAGCCTCAATCTTAGTATCTATCACCCCATTTACACTACCCTTGAAAAACCGTGCAGAGACCGGTCCGAGCTCAGTAACTCAGATAACTTATCGTGTGTAAATGCAAAGCAAACTGAACTGAACTGAGCTAGACACAACCGAACCGAGCTAACTGCAGACTAGTTCCAGAGGTGGGCTCGGCTCGGTTTTTCCCTGGCTCGGTTCTCTGATAACAAGAGTGCATGAGCAGAACACCTCATCTCCGCCTGGCTGCACATCGCGATTCACACTCCATTCCAGTAGTTGGCGGTAATGCCCCTCCGGAAACAGAAGAAGAACAACTTCTTCTTTTTAACTATAAACAACAATCGAAATCTTCTCCACGCAAGATTTTAAATAATAACACCGAAGTACAGCTATAATAATCAAGCATAACTTTCTATATGTGACGGGCGCCGCCATTTTGATTTGCTTGATTCCCTCCTTTAATACTGGCTGTAATACCGCAGATCGTCACTAGGAGGCGAGCAGTCGAGGAACCGAGATAGCGTGATGTGTATGCGGTCGTCAGAACCGAGCTTGGCCTGGTTAACTGATTCGAGCTCGGACCGGTCTTGGCATGGATCGGTTTTTCAAGGCTAGTGTAAATGGGGTATATGGAAAGAGCTAAAGATAAGGGTGATGGCACAGAGGCCTTCTAACCTTAAGGAGGTTATCTGAGCAGTGAAAAAAAAGTGAAATTTCAGATTTATACATGTAAAAATACCAGGATATGAATTATTTGCTGTAATGCCACTTAAAATATTTTTTAGTTATTGAGAAAAAAAATTGTTTCTGCACACTGCCTGCCAGCTGAATGAAGAAGGCCAGGCCTGTAACTAACAATTCTTTTGAAAATCAATTAATCTGTTGATTATTTTTTTATTTCATCAATTAATAATCAGATTATGAAATTAAACCAGGTGAAACTTTTCCACTATCACTAGCTCTGGATTGAGCATAATGACAGAAGAAAAATTAAATGCAAAATGTTCTGGGTAGAGAAAATTGACAGACAATTTTATTATTATTTTTTTTTTTTTATCTTAAATGGAAATGTTTATATATAGTTAACGATTAATTGATTAATAAATTACTTGAAGATTATTTCAATAATCAATTAATTTGATTAATTGTTTCAGCCTTAAAGAAGGCTCCGACAAATCTGTGTTGCTTTTAAGGCGGAATAAATCTGCTGTTGGGGAAAAAGGAAAGCAAAGGAACGGACAGTCAGAGATGACGTTTTAAGCCAATGTTGTTCGGCGTAGTATAAATAGGATATCTGTTGTTTAGCTATTGCTGCATATACTCATGCAGGCAACTTGATTTAACTAAAAATCTAACAAAAAACATCAAATAATGTGCTGGTGGAGATTCTCAGTCATTCAGGTCATAGTCAGTCCAAAAAAGTTTTAAAAAAAACAATCCACTGGACTATGTTTTCCAAGTTGAAGACATTTCGCTTACCATCCATGAAGCTTTTTAAATAAAATAAAAAATAATCACAATTTTTTGAATTAAAGTTGGATGGGAAGCGAAACGTCTTCAACTTGGAAAACAAAGACCAGTGGATTATTTTTTCTAATGCGCATCAAATACCTTTTTTTGTACACAAGTTAACCAATTCAAAAAGTGTTTTTTTTTTTTTTCACATTAATGCATTTATTAAAATGCTAAATATTTAACCTGCTAAAGGTTAATTAACATTAGTGGATTATTGTTAGCTGACTTGATGCCAGGCTGATGGATAATTGAAACACTTTCAGAAATCTGACCTCTAATAATGTTTCATTCCAGGTTTTTCTTGTTGCCTACTCGGTAATTCAATTTTAATTAAACTAAATTAAAAAACGGTTGGGTTGTTATTAAAATATAAAAAGGAAAACTCTGCTTAGACCCATTTATTGAATAGAAACAAAAAAAAAAGTGATTGTTTAATGAGCAATTTTGAATTAAAAGTTGTAGCTGTCCAATGAGGAAATAACAGCAGCTACACAGAGCAGGAAGGAACAGGAAAGGATGAAATACCTTAAGTCAGAAATATATCCTTACTCTAGTAAGGATGGACTAAGAGTTATGGTCTCAGGTCATAGGGAAGCTGATTCGTTGACCAACGACCTGGCATCCCCTTACAGATTTATTTGAGACAGCAAGTTATTTAAACACCGCAGCTGAAGCAGACCAGCTCAGATACTCAATGGTTCTTGGACGACCCGAGGCGCTCACCTTTCTTGCTTCAGCGCGTACTCCAGCATTTTAATCCTCCGGACGAGGTCCTTCTTTAAGTTCTCCTGGCCTTTCCTCTCCCCCTGCAGGAAGGCGATCTGGGCCTGAAAACCACAAAATAACAGCTTAAAATAAAACACTAAAACATTTCATCTGGATATTTCCTAATAATAGAAGCAACGTTTCCACACAAAGCTTTTATTACAAAGGAAACCTTCATCAGGGAACATTTGAATACACCCTCTTATGTCAAGATTGAAATAGCATGGTTTAAGATTAAGAAAAAAAAAAAGTGTGGCATGATGGGAAAATAAAAAGCCCAACAGTACTATTCTATTTAAATCCACCCTCCTCACACTCTCCCACACACCGGTCGTCCCTCTCCCTCCTCACACCGCGGCCTCTCTTCAGTAACAGGCAGCAGCTGTCAGTCTGAGTCAACATTACATGACATTACATTGCTGGGTACCACACACACTGACACCTTTAAGCATGGGGGGGGGAGCACTTTGCACAAGCTGAAGCAGTTTTAAGGTTTTCATGGCTGCAAACAGGAAAAAAAATAAAACATTATTTTAGGGATGCACGATATTGGGATTTTGGCCGATATCCGATATGCCGATATTTTAAAACTCATGTAGCCGATAACCGATATNGGGGGGGGGGCTACCAAAGAGGCCACAGCTATTAGGATCCACTATGCACACATGTCTACACATCCCAGATCACGTCCTCACAGCATTAATAAGTTGCTGGGTACCACACACACTGACACCTTTAAGCATGGGGGGGGGAGCACTTTGCACAAGCTATAGCAGTTCTAAGGTTTTCATGGCTGCAAACAGAAAATATCCTCATATGCATCTAAGTTACAATGATCTTTTCCTACTTCCTAGCATCATTTGATGCATGTGTCAAAAGAAAGTTGCCTGAATCGATGCAGTTTTTTGCAAAAATACTGTATTTTGTCACGTTACAACCCCTAAGCCTCACTGTATTTTACCTATAATCCAACTTTATGCTGATTCTTTTGGACAAAAAACACCAAGCAGCTAATTTTAACTGCTAGCTCTCACTTTAGTACTGAACAGCAGATGGGGCAAATATGGAGGTTGAAGAAGTGGTAGGTCTTAAAACAATGGACCAAGCTTTGAATAACTGGTCACTCCAGAAGAATATGCCCCTACTGCAATCCAACCAAGGTGTGGCTGTCCCAATAAACTAGCCGACTGAGTTTGGGGAGCCTTAATCAAAGCAGCAAAGGGGTCCATGGTAACTGGAGGAGCTGCTGAGGTCCACAGCTCTGGTGGCAGGACTTAAGACAGCCATCAGTTGCTACTTACCATGGCGGTAATCTAAGGCAGCGGCCAAGAGCAGCTCCTCTAGACAATTTCACAAAATATGCCACTTAAAACGATACAAACTAGACATCAGATCTATAATCGCCGACACCTGCTGGAGCTCCGGTCACAAAATGATTTAAATACTGACATTTTTGACCGTTTTAAAAAGCTGCGGAGGGCTATGGACGGATGTCAACAAAACAACAGCGGAAAATAACGGACGAAGGAAGAGAAGCACGAGATGGAGAAATGGAGGCTGCAGAGAGGGGCTAATTGCGAAGCTAAAGAGAGAGATCCCCAACGTCCGCTCGTTGGAAAACATATGGATAATTTCCGACTGGAACTGCTGCGCCATCATTCTGACGGGGTCTCTGTGTGAATGGAGGCTCCTCTGAGACAGTTCCCAGGCAATCTTCGACATCTAGAGGGGAAGCAGAGCCCTCTGCAGGTGAAAATGAGGAAAGTGCTCTAGATGCTTCTCTTTCAAATGATGAAACATCCCCAGCCAGCTCCGCCCGGCTCCCTTCGGCTTCCACACCTTCTCCAGCATCGTCTGTCGCTGCTAAACCTGCCGATGGAACCACTGCTGCTTCAGCCATGTCAGCCTCTTCAACCCAGGGGGCTACCACCCTTACAGCATCGTCATCATCTTCCTCTTCCTCCCTTGAGCCAGGAGAAGCGAGTGCTTCAGGAGCTGGAGGCAGTAGTAGCAGCTCAACAACAACTGCTGCTGCTTACCTTATCAAGGCTTCACTTTAAAAAAATTTATAATTTAGAGAGCTGTTCTTAACGAAATTTCTTTTTGTTTCCACTTGTGTATACCAAATGACAAAATAAATCTGTCTAAGTCTAATTCTAATCCGGTCTTCAGAGAAGATAGGTGTTTTGTTTTTTTTGTCCTTGAGAAAAAATGCATCTAATGTTTGCAAACACCTTGAAGTAAACTCAAAGCTGCGAAATACTTTAGCCAGGTCTTCATGCTACTGGTGTAAAAAAAACTAAACTAAACATCACCTCAGAAATAATGGTGGTGGTGTTAGTATTATGCTGTGGAGATTCTTTCCTTTCACAGGATTTGATAGAAGGCTGGGTGCTAAAATAGGGCAACACTAAAGAAAAAACCTGTTAGAGGCTGCAGAACACTAGATGCAGAGATGGAACCAGGGAAAAAAAACAAAAAAAAAACAGACAGCCAGAGCTACAGTAATGCTCTAATAGTTTAGCTCAGGAGTGCTCAAAGTCAATCCTTAAGGACCGGTTTCAGCCATTTCTCTGCAGCTGAATCAAATCAATGCCTCATTAGCAGGGCTTCTGCAGAACGTGATAGCATGCTGAGAAAGTACTGAGCTCATTTTTATCAGCAGAGTTGGAGAAAACATCACAGCTGGACAGCAGGATCACAGCTAGTTCAGATGTTAGAATGGTCTATTTTAAATCAAGACTTCAGTTCATTTAAGACTGTGGTAGAACTTTGCACATGCTCCCAATCTAACTGGGGTTAACTAGAGCTACTCAGCAGAACGGAATGGGACATTTCCATCATCAGATGACGTATGCTGGTGAAGATCCTCTGTCATCCAGGTCATAGTCTTTCCAAAAAAGTAGAAAAAAAAAAACATCCACTGGTTTCCATGTTTGAAGATGTCTCGCTTCCCACCCAGGTAGCCTTTTCAATTCAAAACGTCAAAAATATTGTTGAGTTCAAGGCCTTATAGAGTGAACCAGAAACAAAGCCTTGTTTTGGCTTAGCAAATATGAAAAATAAACAAGATGAATGGGTTCGTTTAGGTTCTTTTTTAGCCTGCTATACATCTATACTGGTCTATAGATGAGCTGGTTATCAGATGAGCAAAGCTGCTAAAGACAAACCTTAACATGTCAAGGGATGTTACTGGAGAGAAGGATGCTTCAACACAGCTTTGACTCAGGGAAGAGATTTTTATTTGCAAATTAAGATTTAAAAAAAAAAAAGAAATTGCCATCTCACATTTATGCATGGACTTTGCTATGCTGTACAATTAAGATGGTTAAGGTTTGAGGTCATAAAGTGAAAAAATATGAAAATTCTTAAAGTCTATGACTACTATTGGAGGAACAAAAGCATCATTCAACAGACAAAAATCATCAGGCATTATCAGGCCAAAAAGCTGCCAAAGAACAAAGAGGAGAAGCAAGCTGTTCCACTTCTTCACTCCCTCTTAAATCACTCCTTTAAAATCCATCACCAACGAGCACAATTAGCCAGACCTCAGTGTAATGTCAAAACAAATATCAAACTTTGTCTCCAGAGAGAGAATAAACAGAGTCATTTCCTTCACTGCTTTATAATACAGAAGGTGCAAGCTTGAGTAGGCTGGGTCAGTCTTTTAGAGCAAATCACAAGTAACAGCAGTTACTGCCTGCAGAAATGAGTCATGGCAGCTCAGTCTGGCTCGTATGAATATGGGCATCTTCATAACGCCTGCACAGGACTGCCCTAAAAACAACCTCCGTCAAACTCTTTCAGCTCAGCAAGGATGAACATAACTGCTGGTACTCGGTTTGACAGGGTAAACAGTGGAGTATGTCACTGGAACCGAGCGCATGCTGAGAGACAGCAAGGAAAAATTCATCCATTTCCATAGAAAGGTGGATCAGCGCAGTTTTCAGCACTCCACCCACTGCAATGCCACAGTCTGAAGCTGATTCAATCTAGTCTAAAAGGATCTACCCTTAGCTGGATCTATGCTAATGTAGTTGGAAACTGCAGCGTTAAAAACCTTATATAACATCTGTGGTTCAACAACAAGGATGGCTTAGAGTTGAGAAAACTATAAAAGGATTTAAATTAAAGAATGAAAAAACTGGGAGAGGCATCGTGTTTACTATATTACGGTAGTTCAACTGGTTTATTAGGTGGAAAACAAAGTCAGGAGAAGCTTACCTGAAGTTAGAAATTATGCGAAAAGAGATGTTTTGCTTTACCAAAAAAGGCAATAGGGAAATAGTTCTCATGGAAAATAATCACTGTTTTTATTGGACCTTGAGCGCGTGTCTCTGTAAATAACTCACTTTGGTTAAAGACGCTGGAATCCACCCATCAGAGAGGAGCACAGCTTCTGGTAGCTGGGACTGTATAACAGCTAAGTGGATCTTTATGATAATCCTTGGGTTATTCCTTTTTTTGTTTCTTACACAAAACAGGATGTTTATTAAAGTTTTTCCAGTGCTTTCCTCGGTTTATATGAGATGCAACTCAAATATAAAAAAAAGTCAGTTCAAATATATTAAATCCCTCAAGCTCCTAAGGTTTCCAAGTATGGGTCACACTGCATGCATATCAATATATTCCTATTTTCCTTCTGCAAATTCTGATTTTCTATTCTGAACTGAATGCAGAATAATTTTAACCAACTTAAAAAAAACTAAAATGTCTTGAATGTTCTGACTTTGCTCCCACATAACTTGGATACTTTTTGCATTAAGTGGTCACTTTTCTATTTGCTGTATGAAAATATTTTCCTATGCCTCAAATAATGGCTTGAAGAAATCAACAATAATATCACCTAATTTTGTCTTCATGTTACCCTCAAGGAGTTTCAGCATCTCGGTCACAAACTCAGTAGATCAGATGTGGAGATCAAGATCCAACTTGTCTAACATATTACTAACAGATAGTTGGAGCATGATCGCATGGAAATTAAAATACTGCACCATAGCAGCCATCATTAATAGTACACATAGCGTCCCACCAAAGGTTGATATAGAGAAGCTCTACATCA